TCTTACTGCTAATTTCGTTTTCAGCTGGAGAAATATTCAACCACGATTTTATCAGCAATGATGGCCGGCATGGACGACAAGGATGACATGGAAGATGAAATAACCCTGGAATCTATGTCAGGTCTGGCTAAAATCTTGGCTAAGCTGGACGAGAATAACGTGCGACAGATACTCATCAACATATGCTTAAGAATCAGGCCCTGTTTTGAAAAGGTTAGTAGTTAGCTGCGTTGCTATCGGGCGTCGATAAAACCAGGAACACGGAACATTCTGGAACATCCCGGAACATGAAAAAATAAAAAAGTTTTCGTGAAAAAAAATGAATAGAGTAAAAAATATATACATGTATTTTTTGACAACAAAAAAATAATATAAAAACGAAAGAAAAAGAAAGAAAAAGACACTGGTATCATCTCCGAGTATGAGAAAACAATATTTTGTCGCAATAAATTTGTTGGGCGAGTGATGGTTCATGCAAATGACAGTAACGCGCGAAGGCTTGCCTCTAAATTCAAAACATATTAAAATTGGACTTGAGGAGAGGGTTTTAGTCAAGTTTTCCTCACAGCCGCCTCTTGTAATTGTTTCAACGCCATGCGGTTTAATCATTTGACGGATAGCCATTCACGGCTTTGCGACCGTAAGAACAGCTTAGGGGCTCATGGTTTTGGACTTTATTTAGTGGACAAGATTCACATTCGCAGTGAATACTTTCAGTGGTAGTGGTAGCGCAGCGGTAGATCCTAACTGTTGTCAGTTAGTTTGAATTTCAGCCGTCTCCCGGAGTCGCATGTGAAGTTTGCCTTCATTATACGGTCTAAAACGTACGTCGAACCAGTCTTAGCAGACAAAGTATATATAAAAAAGGGTACAGTGCATGTTTGCGCACAGATATAGAGTTTGTCTTGAGAAAACGCCTTTGTTACTTTGTTGCACGACACTAGTCAATTTCCGAAAGTGAAATTTCCTGTTGTCTGAAAGTTGCACAAACGTTTCCTATAATTGTTGAATGGTTTCAAATGTTTCCGACGTTTTCCAAGAAGAATCTGAAGTCCTTAATTGATTCTGAAGATGACTACCGCACAAGTTGTCGAAACTTCAGTCAATGTCAACAACAGTCCTGTTACAGGACTACACTCTGACTTACCCGTTCGATCATAGCAGAGCCCTCGCAGCGAAGCACCATGGGTAAGAAAATTTGGTAAAGTATCCATCCGAGAAATTTTGGTTATAACGTTAGCGTCCGTCCGTCCGTACGGACTCTCTGGGTAGTGGAAAGTAGAAACGAGTTCCTCCCAGAGGTTTGGGAAAAAATTATTGCCTCAACTAAATCATGCATACACCCCTCCCCCACAAACGTCCAGTGGTCATGTCAACCATTTAGGGGGTGGGGGAAGAAACGGATTTGACACCTTAGTAAATGTCATCCATCAACAAAATGGCTGGCGCACTTTCATCATGTTGTGCTTTTCAAGAGTAATAAAGTTTTGCATTTCAAGATTGAAAAAACGCCGATGAAAGATACAGAGGGAATGAGAAATTCAATGGAAAGCTCAGTTTCCTTTTTGTGGACAAACGAAAGCTTTTCGCTATAAAGTTGTCTTTCGAGGAATTCAACCTTGTTTCTGCACGGCGGATCGTAGCGCTTAGTTTGTTTTGAACCAACCAAGGCAGCGAGGATGCTGAAGAAACTTGAGGTACATTCTGTACTCTATGGTCAAGGAAAGTACGTTTTTAAAAGGGAATGTTTGTATTTATAAAGGTTTCATGGTCGTTTTCTACATTTTTACATCGGCGTGAAGGAAAAAACACAAAATGTGCATTTGAAATTGATTTTTTTGCCATTTGCTCAGCCTATTTAACATGCGTGAACGGATCCACGATCCAGTTTTTGTTACGCGAATTGCTTTTTAGGATTAACTTATGGGTTTTTTTAATAAAAATTTTCAAGAAATTAAGTTATTTATCTGTCACTGCTCATTCATAACCTTAGCTCAAAAAACAATCGTGAGATTTTTAGAAACACTTCAGAGGGGCTACTCCCCTTTCTTGAATTAAAACTGAAGTGTTGTTTTTGTACATGTTCCATTGATTGCCATTCATTTTCTTATTCATTTATACTTGCCATTCAAGAATTTTGCATTGTGTAGAATTCAAGAATTTCTGCAGTGTGCAGTGTGCTGCTCTTTTTCCGTAACTCGTGCCTGGAATACAGCTGAATACCGCTTGAATGAAGTTTACTGCGTTTGTTTTCAGTTGTTTGTTTACAGCCTTATTATTCTCGCTGAAAAAGTGAGCTTATCTAAAATATGAAAGAGTTCTCCTCTATTCTAACAACAGACTCGTCGGCTTTCCGATCCCGAGTTTGTCTATTTTTTTTTAAATGCAAAGTTGTAAGCTGCTGTATTAACGTTTATATTTGAGGTGAAAGATTGGATTACAGTTTGTAGCGTAAAAGGTTATCGTCTGCTTTTCTATGTCCGTCCTCAAAGAAAATATTATACACCTTACGGTAAAATTTTTTTTCAGGTATTGTGAGGTATAAATGTAAAGGCTACACATAACTGTTCGTCTGGACCCGTTAAAAAAAAAAAAAGAAGGAAAGAAAATATAATAGGCTTAGGGGAACACAAAAGTTCCTAAGTCGGCCTGATTTTCCTTTTAGGTCTTCCCTAGACTTGCCTACAAGTCTAGCTCAAATTTTTTCACGAGCTCGAAGCGCTAGGGGTAGATTTTTTATGTTTTCTGCGGCAAAAGCGAGCGAGAGAGCGAGAGCTGGGACCAACTACCGGAACCTGAAATGAGAAGCAAAGAACTTTGAGAAAGTCTAGGTCTTCCCTTAAAGACAGAAATACTGACCCTAGTAATCGTAACCTGGAAATTGCTGCTATTGAAGAGACCTACAATTTCACAATTTTTTCAATTCAGATCTGTTTGCGGAATGAACTTAGGCAAAGTGCCTCATTGGCATCTAAGTTCGCGCGGGACTTTCTGTGTGATAACTCCGTCTGTAAAGGAAGTATTCGAGATCTTAAATCATCTTATGGTAGTATTTAACACTAAAGCTCAAATTATTGTCATTTTTGCTTTTATAAATTGTAAATTGTTTGTAAATAGTTCCTGAAAAACCTCACGAGGATGTTACTATTAAAGTTATGATTATTATTATTATTATATTTGTTGATAATCATTTAGCCCCTCCTTCAAAAGGTGAACTCATGCCGAAGGCTCCTACAGTTTAATTAATAGGGATGTAGGATCCCTAGGGAAACTGGAAAAATGCAGTGTGCTGGACTAGCCACGCATTGATACACTAGGGCTATACCAATACATGTCTGAGTGTTATGATAGTTTTCAGGAAAAGCTTGTTAACAAGAGTATACATCAAGGGAGCAGAAAAGTTTGAGGTGCTTTCTTAGTGGCGGAGGGGGGAGGGGGGGTATAAAGGTTTTTTCATGTCACTTGGACCGAAATCTCAACGCCTCTTTTATCAGCAACTTCATTGGAACACCATCAAATAGCCTTTTCATATCAAGCAGAATTACCAGGAGTCAAATCCTAGATATCGAATTTATATGAACAAGAAAAATCATTTTTTTCGGGTTAATTTGCAACTGCTTAAATTGCAATTACCACTGTAACTTTTATATCTTCAGTTAAATTTGTATTTCCGCAGTTCACGTCATCTTCATCAATAATAGTTTTAGTAATAACAATAATGTATCTTACAACGCTTGAACTGAAGGCTGGAATCAAATTAAAAGGTGAAGAGCTACTGTTCCCAGACACACTGTCATATGGATATGCCTAGGAGGTGAAGGAAAAATATATACTAAAGTGCTAGACGTTTGAATTCATTTTGTTAGCCCAATAACTTACATCCCTGTCAACCTTGTACACTGACCCAAGATTGCGGGTAATGCAGGGAGACATTGAAGGGAGACATTTTTTGAGGCAGTGAAAGTCTACAAGAGGATGGTGGCAAAATCGGGGCAAACGGGAAGAAAGAACTTGAAACGAGTATTATTATTATTATTATTATTATTATTATTATTATTATTATTATTATTATTATTATTATTATTATTATTATTATTATTATTATTATTAATAACTGGTGAAAATTATCGTCCAGATCTTCTTTTCCTAATCCAATCCAAGTGCCTATATGTTCTAGAATTAACAGTTGGTTTCGAGTCTAACCTTAACAACAACGCAGAGCGCAAAAAAGAAAAATATCTGAACTTATCAACGAATTGAGTAGAAATTACAGATGTGTGAGATTTGTAAATCTCTCCATGAGCTCCCTTGGCGTTTTCTCCCATGAATGCTCCACAATGTTATAGTCATGATGAATGACATTGGCATTGACAAAAAGCAACAACTTTATATAATCAAGAAAATGATAAATATAGCCATTAGAGCAACATATTACATCTTTTGTCGTAGAAATAAGAATTGGGATAGCCCAGACTTAATGCAATTTTGATTTTTTTTCTTTTCCTTTCTTTTCTTTTCTTTTCTGTTTTTTTGCTTTTGTTCTGTTTTGTTTTTTGAATAATCCAATCTCAAGCAGCATTTGTAAATTGCCTATACGTAGCGAGATTTACAATTGTACATTCAAAAACACAAATAAAATTTCCATTATTATTATTATTATTATTATTATTATTATTATTATTATTATTATTACTATTGACTACTTCTCCAAAAAAACTTTTAGTTCGACATCCGAAATGAAGACAGTTGATAGAACAAGAACGATGGCGTCGTAATGGCAACCACTGTGTCCAGCATGCCTTATGAATTTATGCTATCGAAGGTTTCGTGACCTCTTGAGAGACATCGCCTGATATTGTGCGACAGATGGCGTGACGATTTAATATGCATTGATATTTGCGGGTATCATTTGTCGCTCAACTCAAAGCGGGTGCTTTGGTGTAAAATTTACCAAAAAGGAGAGATATTTTGACTTGTTACCACGGTTTCACTAAACGAATATGTCTATCGAATTAAACTGGCAAACGACAAGATCCACTGTCAGAGAAAGAGCCAAGTTTATGCTCAACAACAATCGACTTAGCGACGTCAAGTTTGTTGCTGCAAATAGCAATGGCGAAAGCGAAAGGAAGCAAGTGATTCCAGCTCACAAATTCATGCTGGCGATTGGCAGTCCTGTGTTTGAAGCCATGTTTTACGGTGAACTGGCGGAGACTAAAGATACTGTTGAACTGCCTGACTGTGATTATGAGAGTCTGCTGGAGTTGTTTCGTTACATCTACAGCGATGAAGTGAATTTGAGCGGAAGTAATGTGATGGGAGTGCTTTACTTAGCAAAGAAATACATTGTGCCTTCACTCACTGATAAATGCACGGAATATCTGAAAGAAAAGTTAGATCCTTCCAATGTTTTCAGCATTCTGCCATCTTCACTGAAATATGAAGAGAAAGCCCTGGAAGATCGATGCTGGAAAGTGATCGACAATCAGACAGAAGCGTCTGTGAATTCGGAAGGATTTGAGACAATTGAGAGGTCTTTACTTGAAGCAATAGTCGCAAGAGACACTCTGACGATTAAGGAAGTAGGCTTGTTTAAAGCTGTAGATAGATGGGCAACAAAACAATGCGAGAAGCAAAGCTTAGCAGCAGAAGGTAAAATAAAAAGATGACTACTGGGCGAAGAAGTAATAAAAGCAATACGCTTTCCACTGATGACAATAGTGGAGTTTGCCTCTTTTGTTCCTGATACCAATTTATTAAATCTTGATGAAATCACCGTCATGTTCAAGTTCTTTGCAATAAAGACTTCTCCAGTCGCGTTTTCTAAAGTCCCTAGAAGAAAACCTTTTTACCGGGTTGGTAGATTTCAGTCGGTCAGAATGAGTGGCTGTAGTTATGACTCAGATGGTAGTAGCCACAGCCTTAACTTTACCGTAGACGGAAACATTACCCTAAAAGGAATCTGTTTACTCGGCAGTGAAAATAACACCTATACAGTAACATTGAACTTGAATGAAATAAGTACTGGCGAAACTGTTATCTCTAAAACAGGAACGTACTCCTCCACACTTTTGCAATGTAAAGACTTGAGCTATTACGGCTTTGAAGTTTTGTTTGACTCTACGGGAGCTGATTTAAAGAAGAGCAACAAGTACTGCATTCAAGCAAAAATAGCTGGCCCACCGTCTGGAAGTGGGGAAAATTGTTTACTTAAAGGAGAGGAATCAGGTGTTACTTTTACATTTCCCGCAGGCAGTCGTGGGCAATTTTCTGAATTTCTGTTCTCCGTTTAACTTCCTGTCAACCAGCTAAATTGTTAAGGTGGTAAGATATGATGGTCTTAAGTACCCTGCGTCAAATATACACTGCTACCGCTGATTATAAATCAGACTGCACAACAGCTTCCAAATTGCTGGTGTGATATCCCACAGGTTTGTAGGAGAAAGAACATGGGGCTACAACACTTGAGGAAGCCTAAAAAATGTCTGCGTGAGAGGGTACAAACGACGTGCTACTGCCGTGCCGAACTTAATTCATAAATTATAAATACATTGGAATACATTTTAAAAGTTCACTAAACCGCTTTTATTTTTAAGTTTTGTTTTTCGCATTATCATTATCATTATTATTATTATTATTATTGTTGTTGTTGTTGTTGTTGTTGTTGTTGTTAATTACTATTTTTCTACATGTACAAGAAAAATCAGTTTTACAAAACAGTGTCTCAAGCTCTCAGCTCAATTAGCAGTGATCAAGATTGACAATCCTTCATGACCACCATGATATCGATGTAAACACAAAAAGCGCAAAATGTTCCAACCAGCTTTAATGCTCAAAATAAAGCGAGAGACCACAACACTATGCAACCCACCAAAATCTAATGCGACTGGTGCGGCCTAACAAGCAAGAAACTCCTATTTTACTCTTACTCTTCTGGTCAGTATCACTCCAAAGATCACGAAATATTAAAGTTTGATTGAAGTTTGATAAATTTTGCGACATAGCTCCTTTAATATACTAATGACTTACTTCAAGCAATAAAATTAATACTATTAACAAGAAATTTTGCTTTTATGGGCCAATTATTCAACTGCAGAGATAGAATTTTTAGGAATTTTTCAATTCTCTTTTTTTGTCCAAAGCTGTTAACGCTTTCCGTAAGTTTAGAGGCCGATATTTTTCTGCCGAGGATAGGGCAGGCAGCAGCAGTACAGATGCTACGAGAGGCCTGAAATTCATTTAGATGAGGAGCACGGTGTACACGGTATATCCCTAAACTTCTAACCTTTTTGATATTGCGAAACGGACACGCACGTTCAGTGTAAGGGTGGACTGCACAGAAAGACCGCATAATTCATACTCAGAAACAAGTCAGATCGACTTGCGATGTTGAGGGTAAGGATTAGTAGGAATAGGGTGATGCAAGAGAGAGTCTTCTTTCTAGTTTTCCTTGGCGTATAATCTAATCAGTGTAATTTCGCTATTATGCTGATTTAAGACATTCGCCAAACTAACACATCCTACTATATTGCGTTCAGCCTTAAATATCATAATATACCGGTAGTTGTGTTGGTAGTCGCTGAGGTTGCTCCGAGTGTAGTTTTCTCTCAACTAACTCAATGAAAATTCTAAGTCGGATTTGCCCATAAAAGAATTTGTTCTATGAAATAGTAGAGAGCAGTTTGCCGTTAAATTCGCTCAGTTAAAACAAGATAAGAACGTACCCCTTTTTTTAATTGAAAGGCGTCTTAGAAAAGATATGTTGACAGTTATTAGCAGTATCCCAGGGAAGCGGGAAAAATGCATTTTGGACGATTAGCCTCACATTGATGGAACAGGAGTATACTGTTGTAAATAAATCGAAATATTTTTTAATTTTCACTTTTTTGTAGTAAAAAGCAACTTATAAACTACTGTAACTGCCCCTTTTTATTTAGTTTATTCATATTTGTTTTATTAAGAAAAGGGCAAAGATCCATAAAAACAAGTATTGTAGCCGGCTTCGCGCTCGCGAGCGGAGCCCCATGCCTACGAAAATTTGGTAATCTATCCATCCGAGAAATTTTGGTAATCACGTGACCATACGCCCGTCCGTCCGTCTGTCCGCACCACAGGGAAACAAATTTGAAATGTCAAACCTTCTAGCTAGTGTGGGAGCCTGTAACCTGTGTTTAACTTGATACTAGACATCCATATTAGATCATATTATGGTCAAGTGACGGCTGTCAAAACAGGGTATCCGCTGACCATTGTTACATTACCGTATCGCAAGCTCAGGTGCTAACTCGTTGAGGTCACGTGCTTTTCTGCTGACCAATTGTTAGCTTTTAATTGATCGCAGGTTCAAGTTTATGTTCTTCAGTCATAAATGGTTTCCCATTAGGTTAAGTATAGGTTTGTGGATTTCTTTGCAATAGTTTAGTTTAAAGTCCGTTGTCTGAAGTAAATTTAAAATGCATAAACTGGAGCTTCGCTTTTAGCTTTGGCTAACTCTATATATTATTCCCCTCATTTATGAAATGACTCCTGGGTTTAAACCAGTCACTGTTTTTCTAACGTCTGTTAGAACACTGAACCTATAACATTTGTACTGGCTTCTGTAATAGCCCACGTTCGATATATTAATAGAGATCTTTAGATTCTAAGACAAGTATGACAACGAGTACGAGATTTTCTCAATACTAAGTAGTAAGCGCGCGTGAACGTGGCGCGTGGCGGGAAAACGTGATAGCCGTCGGCACTCTATTACGAGTTTTAGCGAGAATGTCGAAGTGGGGAAAACAAGTTATCATTTGTTAGAATAAAATCTTTCAATGGCCCACGTTCGATACGTTAAAATTCTAACATGACTCCGAGCCTTTACGGACAATGCAATTGGGAAATTTTTCACTATTCCATTCTCTCGAAGAGACATTAGCACAAAGAAAACCAAACCAAATATAGGCGAATCTATGCAGACGTCATTGTCTACATTTTTCCTCATTAGCATACGACTTAACTCATAGAAGCCGTGGCCGTATATATGAACTAAATGCAAAAGTTGAAAGAGCTGATAAAGTTGAGCAATTTGTGCAATTTTCAGCTCTTTGCACGCAATATTGAAGGAAATAAAAAGAACTGCGAAATTGCTGTGTGGCAAAAAAGTTAATGAGCCATACATTCTGTGTAAAATTTCACATTTTTAGAAGAGAATTTCTCCGAAATCATTTGGTGTATTGGGCTCAAATTTTCAGAGATAACTGAAACTGTTATGCCCTTTCAATATTCAGAGTTTTTGTTTTATTAGCGTCATCAGATAGTGATAAGCATAGGTTAATGAGGTAAAAATGTAAACAAAGATTCCCCTATAGAAGTATGACCATAAAGCCTCGGAGTCAGTCAGAATATTAGAGACCTTTAGATTCAACGACGAGGACGACTACGAGTGCGAGATTTGACTTAGAGTTTTTTCGCGTATTCTCAAAATATTGACTCCCCGGACAGCTTCATTTTACCATTTTTCACTAGAAAAGTTAGCACTGTTACCTAAAGTGAAGGCTGCCCACCTACCCCTCCCCTATGCCAACATTTTGCCCTAAGTGATAAGTAAGTGTTAATGTTGGCTTAGGGGAGGGGTAGGTGGGCAGTTTTCCAGGAACGTAGAATGATCCCAAAAACGTGCGAGCTTGTAATGAAAGTCTTGCTTTTTTTTGTACAGGACAAAGATGCAGTGCGGGCCGCCGCGTTTACCTTATTTGGCAAGCTGTCTCGTTTTGGTGGCGGCCCTTCGAAAGCGCCGTTCCTCGAGCAAGTTCACACAAACTTGATAAGTGTTCTGTTACACCTGAATGAAGAGGATGACGTCATTAAGGTAATTGGTGTAGCATCTTAACCATAGGCTTTGCTTCGAATTTGCTATGACAGTTACTAGTTTACTGGTCACTGAAAATGCTGGAAAGAGTGGCCTGTAGAAGCCACAGAACTTCCAGTAATATTTTGTTCTGTATTTTACACAACTACTTATATTACTGTAGTCAAGAGGTCTTTTACTTTACAAAGGTAGTCCCTCGCATCCCCCTGTTGTTCAAAAGTTGGATCGCGCCATCCAACGGATAAATTACCATTCAGTGGATAAGTGTTAGGAAACCCAATTTCGTTGTCCAGTGGATGGTGATTTATCCTGTTCTTAGCGTTATCTTCCTTTTGAACAACTGGGGCCAGCTCTTATTCCTCGTTGTGTGTCGAATTTCTCTGAAATTGCGGTTACGCTGTTGACAACACTTATAGAGTAAGGCTATCAAGAAAGAAACAATGTCGATCAATTTTCATCTGCAAATTAAGTTCTGGGGATTTCCGCTGTAACAGTGCTTCTCAAATAACGGAACTGAGAAGGGACACCCAACGACGGTTTCCTCCTAAATTCATTGAAAACACTTTTCAGACTATCCAGGGCACTTTAAGATATCTATCAGTGCATTCTAAGTGGCGCTATAAAATTCGTACTTGAGTCTTTTCGAAATCACAAAGTCTTCAGTATTATTCTCCCGAAAATTTTAGATGCAATTTAACGTATTACGAAAGTAAGAATTTTTCTGATTCCTCTCTCATCACATTTTTGAATACAAAAAATTTAGGTTTTCTTCTATTCTACAAATAATAGCCTATCGTGGGTAAAAAAATGTGAAAATGAAACTTCAGAAAATCGTAGGAATTTATTAGACTGGCTTCGAAAATTGTACATGAATTGAACGGTTATCTAGAAATTTGTAGTCTTCCTCAAGTAGTAGAAAATTCTAGGCAATATTTGCTTCTCCGAACAGATATTTTACAGAAAACAGTCGTTGGGTGCCCCTGACTGAGGTATCATTTCTAGTAGGTTCCATTTGCAGTAAGCGCCTATTTAGTCGCTATATTCAGCCTACTGCTTAACTTGTGAAGCTTTTATTTCTTAGGCGTGTAAAGGATGTTTACGATCAATAGCTCCGCTAATGGGCTCAGACTCTGTGAACCAGATGTTCCAGAAACATTTACTAGAAGAAGGGCACCTTCATTACGGCGAGTTCATGAATGATCTCTCCAGACTGATTGTAAGTGTTGTTTGTAGCGGAGCTCCACGCGCGAAGCGCGCGAGCGCGTGGGCGGAGCCACATAGTTAAGAAAATTTATCCTAGTGTAATGTAAACTAAAGCAATTTCATGTGATTGACTCTCAAATCAAGTTTTACTCTCTTACCAAGACTAGCTTTGACGTGCTCAGCGTGTTGACTTTTTGCGACTTACACAGTAGGGCGAAATAATTCTTTTGTTTTGCTTTA